TATCTATTTGAATTTTCATTTATTTTATCATAAGTACATTAATTAAAAATTGAAAAATTCATTATTTATATGCAGCATACAAAATTTTAAGTAAAATAAAATTAATATATAAATTATATTTCAATTTCATTATATTTTATAAATTTGAATTTCATTGCATATCTGATTTCAGTTAGTGGAAAATCTGATATTCCTCTATATCATACACAAAATTAAATTGTGTATTTCAGAAGAAACAGCAAAAATGTATTGGGACTGATGGTATATCAAATACACAAAGAGTATGGACAAGTTTGATATCAGGTGCTATTGCAGGAGCAATAGCAAAAACAACAATTGCACCTTTAGATCGCACAAAAATAAACTTTCAAATTTCAAAACAACCATTTTCGGCAAAACTGGCACTTCAATTTTTAATAAAAACTCTTAAAACAGAAGGAGTGCTGAGTTTGTGGCGTGGAAACAGTGCAACTATGGTCAGAATAATTCCATATTCTGCTGTTCAGTTTACAGCTCATGAACAGTGGAAAAGAATTCTGGGAATAAATGGATTAGAAAGGTAAAACAGAAAAATGAAAATGAAATTTAAATAGTATAAATTAATGTAATATACAAAATATTTTGTTGATCTTTTTATATTATATTATAAAATAATAATAATATAATACTTAATATCATATTTTTAAACATATATGATATTTTTATATTATATTTTTATAAAAATGAAATTAATATTTTGAAATTATTTAATAAATCTCTTATATATCTTATCAACAAACTTTATCTGTGTTGTAATTATGTTATAATTATTTATTCAAAATTATTCTTTTTGACAGAGAAAAGATTGGACTGAATTTTCTTGCTGGTTCCTTAGCGGGTGTAACATCACAGGGCACTACTTATCCATTGGATTTGATGAGAGCAAGAATGGCTGTAACACAAAAAACTGAATACAAAACCTTGCGACAAATTTGTAAACGTATTTACATGGAAGAAGGAATATTGGCCTATTACCGTGGATTTACTGCAACATTACTTGGTGTCATTCCTTATGCTGGTTGCAGTTTCTTCACCTATGATCTACTCAGGAATTTATTGACTGGTGAGTCAGTTCTTTCATAAACTTCTTTTACGCCGTGACGGTGCTTGCACGCAGAAAAAATCGTGATTTATACGAACGAGAGTGGTTCGTGTATGATCGTAAAGCAGGGTACCCGTGGGGCACATCGGGGCTGTTTCCCGATATTGGGACAATAATTACTTTAATAGCGACGTTTGTTGAGACAAGTCCGATGGCGGTGTATTTCAAGTACGTGCTTCATGTTCGATGATGGCTACGTGTCGATGAACAGTGTACACGGTGAATATTCCTGGCTTCTCGACATCACTGATTTGTGGCGCCATTGCTGGAATGGTTGGTCAGACCAGCAGCTATCCTATGGACATCGTTCGGAGAAGAATGCAGACCTCAGCAATCAAGGGTCAGCACTATCACACAATTAGCTCAACCATCATGAAAGTTTACAAGTAAGCTTAAAATTTTCATTTTTGTAATTAATTCTCTACTGCCGACGTGTCAATTTGAATCGCAAAATCCAAGGTAAACTCTATGAAACTCTTAAACTTTAATTTAAATGAACGAAACTTACAATCTTATTATCTCATAAAATATAGGAACAAGAATCAATGAAATTTCTGAAACTTCACCTTGGTAGTAACAGATTAAATCACATCTCATTATTCATAAGAATAATGTATATTAAATTTAATACATTTTTAATACAATTCATAAGTATAATTTTATAAAAATTATAGTTATATTTGATAATGTGTATACTTTTATTGTATAAGCTTCCACAATTAAAATTACTGAAACTATAAGACACATTTACAAATATAATAATATTATGCATATATATACTGATGAAGATAGTTATATAAATAACTAAATCTTTTTTCACTTTAAACAAAAATGTTTTATATATGGTCTTTTATCATTTTCAGAGAAGAAGGTATAATGGCCTTCTATAAAGGATTAAGCATGAACTGGGTGAAAGGCCCAATTGCTGTAGGAATTAGTTTTGCAACACATGATACAATTCGTGATACATTAAGAAAATTTATTGTTTGTCACAGTACCTCATCAAAAACATAAAAATAAAATATTATGTGCAGTTAGAAAAAATAAACAGAAATGGATAATTATCCATTAATATAGAGCATCTAATTAGAAAAGCAAGTAAATATACTATTATCTACTGAAAAGTCCTTTGAGATACAGAATGTGTAGTAGACTTGCACACAAACTTTATCATTGTATTCTGTTACTAATAACAGTTATATAATAACAAAGTTTGTACAAAAATTTATCAGATATACTGTATTAATATAACAAAATATTACAGTAATAGACACATATTGTAACAATTTAATAAAATTATAGTTTTCAAAGGACATATTTAAAAAAACTGGAAATACTAGTACAAATTGTTAATGTATACATTTTTAATTCAAATGTTATAAAAAGCTATTAAACTACTAAAAATGCATGCCATATGTAGGTATATGTAAATCACTAAAAGTGAAAACATATTGCGCAAATATTAATATTTACTTTATTTGTAATATGGTGTTATATGCATGACATAAATTGCATCAATGCAACTGCCCTAATACATTTCCTTCCTTTTATCTATTATATAAAATGAATAAAAATATTTTTTCTAATTTCAATGATTACAGAAACAACTTTAAAAAATATAATAAACATTATAATTCTTTTATGTTAAATTACAGATATTTATAATAATTACAACTGTCAATACAACAGTACATAGGCAGTAATTGTTTTGTATTATTAACTAAGTGTGATATTAAATTTTATATAGTATAGCAGCATTTTTCGTATAACAACTAAGTTTTGATAATTATTTTATATATTATATATATTTTAATAACTAGCACAGTTATTTACACAGGAGCAAGTTATTACAAAAATTATTCATATTTCATTTTTTTTTACAAAATAATCTGTAATAATTTTATAAATTTATAGTGCTCCAAATTATTTTAATATTGTACACATTTAATTTTATTAAATGTATAAATTTATTGTATAACCTAAAACGTTGTTATTTAACTTTATCTTAATGATTGCTTAATAAAGACTTTTTTTAAGCAAATTTCTTCTTGTATTTTTTAACATACACTGTGCTTGAATAAATTTATTTAATTAATATTTTTTATAGTAGATATAGCAAATGCTGCAATATATTAGGTTTAATTTTTATACAAATATATTTTAATTTGATTGAAATTAAGATTTATTTATTTAAAGACTTAATAAACATATTATGTAAGTTGTGTTTTAAATATAAAATATGAATTTACTTAAAAATAAAATGAAAGATAAAACGCGAAAAAATTGTTTTTCTATTATTGATAATAAAAATAATAACTTATGATTAAATAATCAATAATATCTACAAATATTTAATATGTAAAATACTGTTGAATAAGTCTATTACCATAAATAAAAAAAATATATATATTTTACAAAAAAATATTTTATTAAAATTTGACTAGCCTGATAATTCTGAACAGGTATTACTTTGTAAAAATCTGAATGATCCTCAGTCAATTATTTAAGATATAAAAATGTAAAATAGAACACTGTTATTATGTATATTACAGTTATTAATTTCTATGACAAGGCTTCAGCATTTAATTTTTGCTGCTTCGATAAAGCAGAGTATAATTAAAAAATTTTTATCTATTTTTTCTGTAAAAAACTTTGTACAATAACACGATATTATTTTGGTTTTGTTTCTTGATCATTCACATATCTTATATAAATTTCTCTTTCGTCATTTCCACCTGGTGGAATTTCAGCTTCATTTAAATATGATACTCCTATAGCAAGTACAGAACCATCATGACTAAAACTAAGAGCAGCAACACCGGCGTTATATCTATGAAATTGGCATAAACGCTTTTTGTTAAAACCATCCCAAATGTTTACATAACCATCTGAACCACCAGTTGCAAATGTATTATAAGTTGAATGAAAACTAATAGCATTCACTGGATATATATGTTCCACATTGTTTTCCTTTATCCTATGACATTTAAAAGCATATTTTTTTTTCTGTGCTTCTGGTGTTGTATCAAGATACTCAACGGCGACACGACCTTCTATACTACTAAGGACATATCCCTAAAAATGGTTAAGAATTGAAAATAAATAAAATTTAATATCAATATCAAATTGAATTAAAATTTCATTTATGCAATCCTTTCATTTATTTCAAAATATCAAACTTACCTGTTCATTAGGGAAACCTTTAATACAACGTGTTTGATACTTCAAACTGCTTTCACGTCTTTGAAACATACCAGCCATATTTCTCAGATCCCAAATACAAACTTTACGTTTAGCTGTACCTACTACAAACTTATCTCCACAGACAGATAAAGCAAGAACAACATCAGGTTGTAAATAACTACCTACACAAGTGGGTGTTCTAGGATCCCAAAGTTTTACTGCTGCATCCCATCCACCAGTTAATATAGCATTTACTGCAGCACAGTATTCAATTTTCCTAATTGGTTTATCATGTGTACCCATAACTGATTCTATAAAATAATTTCTTTTGTGATTTTTATTATATTCATATTATAACAAATATGAATGAAGGTAAGAATATAAACATAATACCTGTATTACTATTGATATCATACATCTTTAATGTATTTCCTAAACCACCACTATAAGCATGAACAGCATCCTATTAAAGAAAGATACTGTATTGTACCAGTATCAAATATTTAAGATTTTAAGTCAAATAAAATATCCAAAAATAAATATTAAGTTGAATATGTTGTTTATTCCTATTTTATTCCTACATTTTCTTTATCATATAAATATTAAATTGAAGTTAGTTTGTACTTTAAATTATATATTTTATTTGACTTCTTTTGCTTTAAGTATATAAATATAATTACATACTGAAAAATATTACTTACATTATTATAGCACTTTATGACTTGTTTATCTCATAAATCTAGCATTATATTTATTAAAAAAAGGAAGTTAATAAATTTGTAATTACCTGAAATGCAACATCTAAAACTGGTAAATCATGATTATATTTTAATCTCATAGTATTTGCATGAATATCATACAATCGCACCGTACTATCCCATGAAGAAACAAGAAGAAATTGCGTTGAGTTGGGTCCAAATTCCACCGCTGAAATCGCATCAGTCGGAGGAGATTTTATTTTAAATTCTGTTCGAGATTCCATTCTTTAAAAAGAAAAATCGAGAAATATAAAAATGTATATATACACTAAATAGTATAAATAAACATAACCTGTAAACAGTAAAGCAAATACGTACATTATAGAAAACTATTATTGCTTTAGTAATAGAGTTTTAATATATTTATTCACAATATTTATGTAAATTTCTATATTGTGTAACTAATAATACACTAGATAAAAAGTGAAGTAAGTAAAACCTAAATATCGAAAAAGAAGATAGAGACATCCACTTCCATACATAACATAAAGGGGAACATATAAGTATACCGAACTTAATCGTGAATACAAATTCATACAAAACGAATTAATAAAATATAATTTATTAGATTTTGTTATTTAAAAATATATAATACAAAAAAGTCAGTATTGTTCAATTTTAATTAGTAACTTTTAAAAATGTACATATTTTATATGAATCTTCAATAATCGTTTAAACCTCAGGAAGTTAAGAACTCCATACTTGTATTTGTACTATATCCGGAACACATGGTCGTTTTCTAACCTCAGTAATACGTTTTAATTGTATGTAATGGTTATTTAGAAATATTGAATGGAATATAAAATAAAGAAATCATGGTAAGTTAATGCTTTAATTATATTATTAAATTAATTCATAGCAGCTATTCTCAAAATTACTTATATTGGTACTGTTTACAAGACAGTATCTTAATATTAATATAAAAATACTGAATGCAATAATTGTATTTAAAATATTTATTTAATAAAGTTAAAATAAATTTATATTTATTAATATCAAGAATT